TAGTACGGACACACAGGTGAAAAATGTGTAACGCGTCGATTAGACTGCGGACTTTATGCATTTATAACACGCACGATTTTCTAGAATTTACTATATATATAAGAGATTGATCAATGTTGAAGAAATTTTGTATTTTAGCGATGTGTATATGGACGTACCCGTAAAAGCATCCGAATAAATGCGACCGTCGTCTACAATAGCGAGAAAAGACGCGGAGGATGAAAAACAGAGGGATGGGGAAGTATTCGAAGGAAACTGAGGAGAACTAGCGTGTGTATGAATATGTGGGTAGGGATGAATGGTGGAGGGCGGTGAGGGAGGGGAGGAAGGAGAGTCGTAAAAATAGAGAAATATTCGGGCGGAGTGTAGGAGATGTATCGGTAGGACGATTCGTGTGAAACCACGAGCCCGACGATCATATTCGTACGTGTATTTTTTGTGGATCGATCTTGAGATGAATAAACGAGCGAGAGAGGTACGATAAATAAATATTAAAGTATACTGGGTATTCACTGGAATTCGGTGTAATAGAAAGTTTAACGAAGCTTAATTAGACTTTTGCTGTGTTTGTAATACGGAAGTTGCTGTTTGAGTAACTTCATTGTTGTTTAATTCCAAGTATTTTGTAATAGTCTGTAAATAATCGGTTTAATTCTCGATGTTTCGGATTCGACTGTATTACTACGATACTTTAATGTAATTTCGTACCGATCGGATTCCAGTAAATTGTTCAGTTATCTGGAGCGTTGATTATTCGTTGAAACGGAATAATCGTTATCGATCCGATAACAGAAATTACACGCACAAATTAGACAGATCCGAACGAATATCGTACGTGAGAACGTAAGCCCGCTGCTGCGTGTACGTTGCACCCAGGGAGTGATAACGGAGATAGTGTCACTCGTCTAGCTAATTACTAGTCGCCAACTATACGGCTCCTGGGAACGAGCTCATGAATGAAGCACGTGTGTATGTAACAGGGTCGGCTGGGTTCGCTGGTTGGGATCTTGATGCTTGCATAATTCACGAATAAGGATACATGACTGGCCTGGTCATGTATCTATGTGGCAATGTTTTGAATTTACGTTTGATTACCATTATGAATGTTTAGTTACTAACGTTATTTAAATCAGGACACTCGGGTCTATAGATATTTGGACGCGAAGATGTGTAGGACATTGAACCCCCTAAATGATAAATCTAATTTTTTGGAACCCTAAGTCTGTGGATCTTCAAATTTGAACATTTTGGACACATGGATTCTTGAAAATTACGAAATGCTCTTTTCGGACATATTTAAGATAACACAGAATAAGTTTAGAATACTACCTAATCATTTTCCAATATTGTTATGAAAATCTGAACACTCAATATCGCGTTGTTTTTCCATAAAGCCCACAGATGTACGTCTAATTTCGGAAAACGCGTACCAATAACTCCAATATGACTGCCGCTGGAAAATCTGATCGTCTGAATGGTATCGGAAATAACGGCGTCCTCGTTTGCTTTCGCACCCGGAGAAACGTTTTTCAATGGCGGATATCGCTCAGTTATCAAACTACCCGTAACTCGTCCGCATTCCATTCTTCTTCCATCGATAAAAGTCTCACACGCCTATCAAATTGCCAGTGACAAACCAACTGTTCGATTCACCAAAAGAAACCCCGTAATCGTTCACCAAAAAAAAAACCCAATAACAATATCTTAATAACTCAAAAATAATCTAAATGACTAAAAAACCCTAATCTTCTTTTAGCAAAACGAGAATAATATCTTTGCAATCACAGAATAATTTAATTGACCGAAGAACCCTAATCTTCCACAAGAAAAAAAAATAAAAAATAATTTATGAAATCTTGTTTTCCCTCCAGAAGATAAATAAAAAATAATATCTCGAAAATACCTACTGTAAATCCCTAAAGATTAATGTTCAATGAACACCATATTCAACTGAATCCCACCGAAAATTCAAGAGAAACAATTGACGGTACAATGTACGTAGGTACTATCGCGTTATCGTCGTTTCTGTCGGCACTCGTCGCTTCACAAAGACCGACACCAGATGCATCCAACGATGGATAATGGCCTCTCCATCCGTACATCCGCTAATTCAGGCTACCAAGCCCGGGAACTGAAGCAGGGATGAAAACCTGACAGGAGTTGGTCGAACGGTCGTACCGTGAACCGGTAATTGGTCTCTGAAAGCTGTTTTCAGGCGGAAACCAATCGTCCTACCCGACGAAAGTTTCACAGCTACTGGCTGTCGAAGTTTCCACCGGTTGTCCAAGCTACAGCTTGAGTTAGAGCCGTGGGACGTGGTACGGTGACGGGAAGCGGGGAAGAAAAATTGGGGGCGTTGAAACGTGAAAACCGTCGTCGAACATCGGCCGTTTGGTGTCTCCGGTCCAAGTGGGACCGCAACAATGCTTGGACGACGAAGATAAAGAAATGGTAGGGGTAGGATCACATCGTTGATGTCCCGTCTGGAAGATAAAGGGTGAGTCAATAAAAACTACGATCTAAAGTAACTCGTTACCTATTGGTTGTATCAAAATACATTTTAATGAATTATGTAGCATTTTAAGGGACGCATCGGAAGGGTAGAAAAAGGATTCATTAACTTTAAGAAACTCAAGGTCACCTTGATATCTAAAAATGAATAAGATATAACAAATCAATTTGTATCCACTCGATGTGTTCTTTAAAATGCTGTGTAATTTATTGAAAGTTTTTTCGATACCACTAGTAGGTAATGAGTTATTTTAGATAGTAGTGCTTATTGACTCATCTTGTATATTCTTTATGGATCCTGTTAAAACGTATCGAAGTAGAATGATGAATTTATTATCAGTCCTGAGTTCCTCCTTTCGATCTTGACATTTCTCCTGCGGTGTAAAATCCTGCAAAGAAAAATTTCTTTAAAACCCTGAGGATATAATGACGATTCAGTCATTGCACAATATTGTCGAGTGTTTGTTAGAACAAATGGGAAAGGAAGTACCACCAGATTCTATAATGAATTCAAGAGGAAGCAAAGTACTCCATAATGACTTAAGAATAGTTATGAAATGAGTAGGTTGTGATAAATTATTTCTGTCTAAGTTTAGTATATTAGTTTTCTAAAATGGCAATGAGAACTTCCACCTGTATTTTCGAAGAATCACTAACAGTTGTTATCCTCGGTTTAAAGTGTGCTAATGAATTCAGTGTGCAGTCGCGCGAGAGAAATTGTATTTCCGTTGGTAAACGTAAGTCACAGCTAGAGAATCACCTAGGAACGAGGGTGAACGAGGTGAAAAAGTAGAGATTAAGAAGAGAGAGCCCGAGCATCCCTTATCTTGTAACAGCGCCAAGCGCAACGGAGTGGGGAGGGGGTGAGGCCAGGGAGAGCGTTAAGAGATAAAAGATTCTTCGTCCCGGAATTTACGAGCAATTTCGTCTCGGGGCCCCATTCGGGGACGGTTACAGCGCATTTCGAGGTTTCCCCCATTCACTTCGACACGAGGCTGACGTCAATTACATTAATGTCGATCCTTTTTTCCAGAGTGATGCATACATCGAACCCAGAAAAATTAAACATTTAAAAAAATACATTCCATATTTATACAGCGGAAAAGTATCGTGTGCAAATAAAAAAAAATTGAAAAAAAAGAGAGTATCGCCGTGTTTGCTTATCACGAAACCGACTAATGGAATTCAATATTTCCATTAATTTGTGCATCAGTCGATAAAGCATAGAATTTCTGTTATGTAGAGAAAAACACATTCGGTGCATCGTAAATCCAGACCCCACGATCGAAACAGCTCGTTCGTTTCGTTATGGCGTCGTTTGTGAAACAAACAGAACGGATGAAACTTGATCCAATGGGTTACGAGATGAAAAGTTACAACGAGCAAAAGGGGGACTAGGCTTTCTAGGTTGAAAGTCGACGTTTCGAGGAGGCTGGTGCCTCACTTGCCTGCTCCTCTTGTTTGCCGTTGCGTGGTCTGCGGTGCACATGCGTCTCATCACACGTACCCGTACCAGGCACACTTGCACGAAGTCTGCAGGCCTGTGCTATGCAAGTCGGAACTGCATTATGCATTTATCGTACGCGTGGTGCACGCTGGTCCTGTGACGAGCACGCTTTGATGCACGATGGAAGTAAATTTAGCTTAATAACCCTTCAATAATTCTAGTACTGTCGAATTGCTTTTCCCTTGTTCTCGTTGGTGAACGTTGTGTGTTATTAGAAAACAATGACAGATGTTATTGTTTAATTGCGTAATGTGCCTACATTGAATAAAGAAAAGTATAATCGTAAGAAAATGGTTCTAAAGTAGAAGAATGATCAGCTAAGTATTCAATAATGAAATCATCAATTGAATAAGGGGAGAATAAAAATTGGATTTTGTATCACATGGAATCCCTGTTTCACAAACTAACAAGCATGAATGTATTTTCCACCTCACTGGGATATGTTGAATAAACGGAAAGTCAAGTTAGATTTATGTTCCATGCACGAAAGTCTGATTGTTTGCCTCGAGTTGACGTGCTCGGCCAACGGTGCATGTGCATACGGGTCGTACGTCTTGTACGTTAGTTGCATATGCAGCTGACGAGGTCGTCAGTCGAAACACATAACTCTCGAAGTGTAGTATCGTGACGGAAAATAATTTTACGTGGGGAAAGAATGGAAAGCAAGATAACTATTCGCTAAACAAGTAGAACAGACCTTGTATTGGTCAGACAAGACAAATATAATTCCAATCTTGGTCAGACCCGCACAGTTCGAGTTTATTTTTGATTAGGTAAGGGAAGTATGAATCTGTATCTAGCCAGACAAATGAAACCGAAGTAGATGATGTTCACCTCTAGTCAGACAACTAATAAATTTTCCTTAAAGAATTCGAAATTAGGGATTCAGGATGTATTAATTACTACTGAACGAAACTTTACACATAATTGTATCTGCAATACTTGTATATTTAACGGATTTTTTATTACAATTTTGTCAAAGGTTCGAAGAACGTCTAACATCGGAACGATGTGAGAGGATTATATGGGTGAACACCAAACGGGCAAGAAAGACTCGACGAAATCACGAACACGTGGCGAGACGTGAAGCGGGGTGAGTTGACATACGATAAAGTACCGTCACGTATTTACACGCAACACTCTATATACAGGGTGGACCACGAAACGTGATCAGCTTAGATTATTCTATTGCCAGCTGTTCGATCGAACATTTTTTTTAGCTAATATAACATGATTCGAGGTGAGCTTTAAGATGAATGTACCAATTTTTTTGTCAACCCTTCTTTCCACGGTAATTCTTTTACGGTACTTTTTTCACAAACAAATAACTTTTTTTTCTAAACTGAAGAAACATTAAAAAGAACATCATTTAGCTTAATTAAAACGATGTAACCAATTTTTTTGTCAACCCTTCTTTCCAGGGTTTTCAAGGCCATCTTCAGTTTTTTTTATAGATAAACCGGTAATTCTTTTACGGTACTTTTTTCACAAACAAATAACTTTTTTTTCTAAACTGAAGAAACATTAAAAAGAACATCATTTAGCTTAATTAAAACGATGTTCAAAATGGTGTTCATCAGATACAATACACTCGCGTAAACGTAAATTTGCACCGATGGTTAAGCATCGAAAAATTTGTTTGATCGTACAGCTAGCAGTACAATAAACTAGGCTGATTACGTTTCATGGTCCATCTTGTATACATTCATAGCTTCTCGATGCGCAGGCCTGTAATAATACGTAGCTTTCCGAATCCTTAAAGAACACATCTCTGACGGGGGTCCATTATCCTGTCTTGTGCGGTCTCCCACTAAGAAATTGGATTTTCAGACGCCAGCTGGTCACGGGCTATCGGTCGCGAAAGATATCTGGTCTCGAAGATAAACGGGTCACGAACGTCGTTCGGATAAATAAAATCCCCCTCCGAGGAGCTCCGGCGAGCTTGGAATTTCCACGATCGAGCCGTGCGCGCCGGTATTGAGCTTCGTCTCACGTATCTTTGCCGGGAAGCCAGTGGATGACGCATAAAGAATGGAAAACGCCGCGATCGTAAAGGGTTTCGTTGCCAACGTTCGACGTATAACTATGTTGCTCTTTCTTTCTGGCGAAACCGTGGGTCTTTTCTCGTAGTGGATCACGAAGACACGAGGATGGATATCGCAGAAACACTAGAACGACGTTTACGTCGCAGAAGGTAATCGTTTCGGGAATTCCCCGTTTCGGATTGACAGTTCTATACTCGCGTAGAGTCTCGAAAACGCGGCCCACGATCGAAGAATATGCGACGGCCGACGAGTGTATGTCATTGCAGACGGGATCACGTTTGGAACGAAAAGTTCGGTTGGAATTCGAGCCGGTTTGTTGAGCAGAACGCGAATAATTTCTGTACGCGACCAACGGGGGACGTCGGCATTCAATTCCGATCGCGACGATATCTGGGTAATATGTTTCCAAAATAATGCGGGTCCATGCGTTTCTCTTGGTTTTGCCAAACCTGCTGAAGCGCGTTGTTTCGAAACTATTGTTACGAGTCACCAGTACGTAAGTGATTTATACGAGATGGATTTTATTTCGAGACCAAAGTGGAAGCTTTAGTAGCGCGAACAAAAATTGCTCTGTGTGTGTGGCCCGTCAAATTGAACGGGCCAACGTATGGTGAGTCAGGTGGAATAGAAATATCAGTGGACGTATAGATAGAAAATGGATCGAGTATAATGAAACAACTAGAGTTGAGTGGCTATTTAGACGATCGAATAGAACAAGGCTCGTGTATGGTCAGACGAACGCAATGGCAGTTTTATCCTAGCATTATCGAGTTAGTTATGAAATCTAGTTAACTAAAAAACGTCATCTATGAAATTTCCCTAGGCAGCAAGCTCGCGTGAATCTATCTCTGTAAGTAGAGTAGACCCATATGTAGTCAGACATCAGTCGTACAGTCGCCCAGCAATCAAGGCACTTTCGTTTCCTCCTGCAATGTACTAAATTTCTCCCTCCTTGCTATTCTCTCTCCTCTATACAGAGAAAAGTATTTTTCACCCTAGTAACGGAATTTCACCGAATTTCACAGCAAAAGGTGGGGGTCACACGATTCTCGCCACAATGCCTCCGCAGAAATACGACTGTGGATTCTTCGAGTCGAGTCGGGGACTTGAAAGCCGCAATTTCATCTGCAATTGCGGCTCACGAATTTGCTTTGAAAGTATCCGCGAACTGAGAGAAGGCGACGGAGCTAAGGTCGGCCGGGAAAAGATTAGAACGCGGCCATGACGTGACGCTAGGAAGAAAACGGGTCCCGCTCGATCTGGCCGGCACAAAAGAATCGAGGAAAAAGAATCAAGAAGAAAAAAGCTGGGAGGGGGAGAGAGGAAACGCGCACGAGCCCGTTCGAGAATCGAACGAGACAAAGCGATCGTTCGATGGCTGGTCCTGGATTCGATGCCCGATGCTTCTTGGCTTTTCGGTTGCCGTCAAAAGGAGGAAAATTGAACTACATGAAGCCGGAGGACCCATGATTCCGAAAAAGTTTTACTACTGAAAGGACCAAAATTCGCGCCACCAGAGAAAATAATAGGTGTACACATTAATTCGTGGCATCCACAATTGATTATTGACTCAAAACCACCATCATGTTTGCGAGAAAGGATTCGTCAACTGGCCGAGAAATGACGTAAATGTGTAAAAAGTGATGGGGAATATTTTCAAGACTGCACTGTATTTTGGTTTCTTGTAAATAAACAAGAAGTCTATGAAAAGAAGGCCACGAATTAATTTGTACGCCTAATAAGACGAGGAAAAGAAGTCCGTGTGTGGAGGGGAAAAGAGGCTGAATCCTGCGAGCCGATGACAATAACATTCAGTTTACAAAGATCACGAACGGAAAACGTGGGTACAAGCATGTTCAATTACCGTCCCCGGTATTTCACTTTATTCTCCAGGTGGCTATATCGATGATTGAAAGGATAAAAGGAAAAGCTCCCTCTTTCTACGTTGATGAAAGAACACCGTTAATAGAAACCGCGCGCTCTTCTCCGCGATACGTCAATACTGGTCTTACCCGGGAACTCGATGATCGTTTCCCGGAAATTTTCTATTTGTATTTTGAAGCTATTATCGATGATTGAAGGAGATAAAAGGAAGCTCTTCCTCCTACTCTCGGCTGTGGCGGGCAGACTAGAGTAATAGAGATGGTTCTGTTCCATAAAGAAACCGCCGCCTCGATCACGTTTCGACAAATTAAATGATCGTCGCTCGTGCTCCGGCATCCTGAGAAGCAGTTTCATCCCTTTGGGTAGCGTGGAACGGAACGGAACAGACGGGATAAAGTGGTGTCTTTCGAACAAAGTGACTGGGCTCATTAACAAACCGGTGGACCTGTTCCACGAATAATGGATCGATTCATTACCGTACAGAGGTACGATCAACCAGAATGGTGCTGCATAATTCCACAATCTCCACACTGGACAAACGAAGAATTACTCAAAATCACTGGGATCCATTAAAAAGTTCTAAGCAAAAGGAACTTGTGAACATTTGTTCCCAACGTGGGGCAACTCGAATATTTTGAGGGACAAAGTTACCAAATTACCAGTCACGTTATCGACAACGGTTTTCAACAACAGCTATTAATATTAAACTTTTATGAAAACATGGTTTACTATGATACTAATCTTTGAGACATTCAGATGAGGTATGATTCATAAAAGATTGAGAAACACTGTTCCAGAGGGTAGAATTATTTCCATTCGTTTACCCTTTCGCTCGCACGAAAGCTTATCAAATGTAGCGACCGCAAAAGTTCCCACCCACAGGACGAAACCCGCCAGTGGTACGACCAGCCGAATCTTGAACGTTGTCCCTTTTGAGTGGAATATTTAGGCGGCTGCGAAATTAATCATGCAATCTGCACCTAAAGCCTGTTACTGTCGCGGAAACGACGCAACGGTACTGTTAAGACTCTCTTTCTGGCTGATGCTCGGGGCACAAAGGTGAAATAACATTAGCCGTACTCGGGGAAAGCCGGAACATGCGCATTCTCCCCGTGTTGGGCAGGTTGCGCGCGAGTTTTCATATGCACGGGATCACGGAGCAGACGTGTACACGCGCGTGGACGCGGTATTACGCTTGAAGAGCATTCCTAACGCATCCGGAGCCCTGAACGCGGGGTCTCACGCGGATAGGACGAGGCTGTGATGGGGTCCCGCAGTGACGAGTGTGTACACCTTTAAGCACGGCTGGAGCTTGCTGGGTCGATGGTAAATCGCGCGGAAAAGGAAGATACAAAGTGTTGCGAGACGCTTGGTAACGAGTGAGAAGTTGTCTTAATCTTTGTTGGATGAGAATACATAATTATGATACGAAGGAGGAGGAGAATATTGAATTTATGACTCTATAATGTAGAAAATTGACCGTGAATGAAGAAGGTGGAAACAGAATATTCATTGGATAGACCGATGAAGTCTATAAGTTTGTATAATGGGTATTAACACTAGGTTTACGGGACGCGTCATTTTGACGCATTTTGAATGCTTTCTAACCTCGAAATTCTCTATGTGGTATACCTATCTCTATAGCTATGCATTAATTTCAGAGATCATAAATTGTGTATTATATTAAATAAGTTGTTTTTTAAAGAAAATCTGCGGGTTCGTTGACGCGTGCTGTGGAGATACGTACACGATAAATGCCCGTAAACCTAGTGTTAAGGGGAAGAAGTCGCGTATTAGTCAGACAATGGGATGGAGATGTTTCCTGAGCAAGGGAGATAGAATATTTATTGGTCAGTAGTCAGAGAGAAGTGGAAAGCGTAGAAATCAGAAGCATAGATCAAGTTTCCCGTCGAGTCGAACAAATAGAACGAGAATTCACGTATCAGCAGACCGACAACGAAACATTCGCGAGGGAAACGTAATCGTAAGTGAAATGAGACAGTGCTGTGTCAGACAGTAGAGACTTCTATCGGCCCACTAAAGTTTTCCAAACTCGATTTTATGGATAGTTGTCGAGTTCTCGAGAGGGCAACCGTTCTTATAAATATGTAAACTGGATATTTGAGTTCCCGGGTTGAGCAGCGTAGGAATGGCAAGCGACTCACGCTCCCGAAAAATACTTCAATCCCCCAGAAGATTGATCTCGAGTAACTTCAGACATACTAGGTTATCCAATCATGATATTATAATAATATCATAATAATTACCTTCCTCTCTATGGATCTTCGTGGAGCCTGGATTACTACACAAATTTTATTGTATATCACGTTTATATGAAAATTGATCACTGTAAAGGAAAAGTATAACATATCATCCCTGGCGCAATCAAACCAATAAAACTACACAGATTGATCTTACTACTAACTAACAGATGAAATTCTTCTATTTTGTAAATAATTGGTGCTTGAAATTATGAACAAAAAATCCATTATTCCTCGCTATCTTTGAATTTCAACAATTCATTTTTTTCAACTCGTTTCCATCGAATCCCATAGCAACACCTGTCAGAAGTGGCTACTCGACGAATGATTTCTCGTTTCTTGTTTCAGCGTTGAGCCTGCTGTGCGTGAAGAAATTCTCCGGGAGCGGAACGATGCTAGAAGCGCCGCCCGGGAGTCGCGAGGACCTTGTGGAAGCAGCAAGAACACCATGCACGCCCACAGGTTAGTCGTTGATGGTGGTTTACCATAAAGTTTAAATGAAGACCTAAGGGGAATCCCGCGAATCTAACAAGCCTGGTGCACGTGCGCGTATATGAAAGCTCGTAAGCCGAATAAATAAATAATATGCGTAACGAGCATGCTACTAATATGAATAAAACGGGACTGAATTTTGGAAAGTCGAGTATCAAAGGCATCGTTTAATTTTGCCCCGGGAACGACCGGATGATTCCTCCACTGAGAAATATCGGGCTGCGTGTTTATCATAAAGTTTTAAATGGTGATCTAGTGTCCTCGGTAAATCCAGGGAACGAGTTAGGTCGGCGAATAGACCGCTGGTATCCAGAAGTTTCAGGCTTGTCGTAAATTTCACCGGGATAAATAATGAAAACGGTGAAAACACCAGTGTAACAGAGCCGGCCATAGTTCACTGAACTTGCTGGAAATTCGAGTCCAGAAGCCGGATATATAAATTAAAACTATAGAGGGTGTTGTGCCAAACAGATTAGTACCCCGGATTAATTCGGAAGGATGAAGTTTTGGGAAAAAATGTTTGATACAAAGGTTTTATGAGTTAACAAAGGGCATCTGATGGTTGACCTTGAGTATGACATAGAGGTCATTTTCAGGTGAATTCGATTTTTTTGATTGAGAATCCCCATTTTTAGCACCAGTGTTTAAGTTTCAAATTTTACGTTCCTTCCATTTCTGAACCTAAAACTGGGAGTTCCCATTTAAAAAAAATCGAATTCACCTGAAATTGACCTCTATGTCATAATCAAGGTCACCGTTATATTCTCTAGATAAAAAAAGTGGTTCGTCTTTATTTTAACCTCAATACATAAGAATTGATAATTTCGGGGTGGTTTTATAGCTATGCCACGTAGTGTAGAATGTTTTCGAATAATCGGTCGCTACAAAAGTATTTCTCAACTATTTGAAGATAGTAATTTCATGTTTTCTCGTGTTTGTCGTATCTCTAGCGCGGTTGAACGTATGTTAACGGACGCTTCGAATCGGCAGCAAGAAAAATTCCTCTCACCTGAAACCTGAATCGCGAGTGATTAACCCAGTTTCTCCCGTTCTCGTAATTAAAGTTTAGGCCACGCGGTGGTCGCCGTGAATGCGGAAAATAACGTGTTTCACGGGATCCTGACTGGCTGCTTTTTCCTCCTAATACTTCTCTGCCCAAGCTCGTGATATTTTTATTATTTCACTGGTCCCTCGAAAATTTCCGACAGTCGAATACCTTCGCAGCCACGAGGACCAAACCGTGCGTGTATTGATTGCATACGCTCGCACAGCGGTTAATATTTATTTGCAAATTCATTTTCCCAGGTCTAGGGATGAACGACGGGGATTAAAACGTTCTCGTTTATTCGTTCATTCCGCGCAGATAAAGAATTCCTGCAATACTGACGAAAGATAGAGGATCGCCGGGAATCCGAGAATTTCGTTTCGTTTTATCGATCAAAGTGAAAAGAGCCGAAAATTTGTTGGTAGGCTGGAGAGTGAGAAGAAATCACGATTATTAGTCGATTAAGGGGGGCGGAGCGTCATCTCGTGAATAGAGTCTGGTTATTCCAGAGGACAACAGGTACCAGATTTTCGAAGCTGGACATTTTTCAGATCACTTTGTCCTCCACCCCCCTGTGTCTCGCTCCCTTTCATTATTCCCCTCGGTTTCACCCGAATTCAGGTCCATTCAGACGCGTCAGAAAGCAAATTATTGACGGAACGTATCAATCACCGTTGAAATCGGTCTGATTTTCCACGGACCAATACCACTCGTTCCTTTATTCGTGTGACACTCGTGGAGGGGACAAAGCGGAAACGGATGAGGTAGGTGCTCGATCGATGAACCGATCCCCCTTCTTCTTCCCGCAAGCATCATTATCGCCGCAGGCCTACTTGTAACGGAGCCAATGGACGGCTCTTTTTATGCCAATAAAACCCCGGTTTTCCGTGATGATTGACGGGGTCTGTCTTTGTGGCGCGTCATTCGCGGAACAGCTACTTTTTGTCGCCGTCTATGAACGCAAGCAGTCGATTGTTTCTATTGTAATTAAGTAATTTGGTTCTTAGCGGCTGATGAGAACCCGAGAAATTGAATGACGGCAGGGAAGGACGGGGAATCGAAGAATCAGGGATAATAAGAAAGGGGATATGAATTACATTATACGTCACAGGGACAAATGTTTGTGAAACTGAAGGCATTACGGGTGATTATGATTTGTAACGGAAGTAGAAGTGGTCAATCAGGCCACTGAACCAAATTGGGTTCAACTCTCCTGTAGATTTTCTCCCAAAATTGAGAGCTATTAATCCTAAAGATCGTAGTGTGATCGCGAATCTTATTTATAGACCACTAAACAAGGAAATTTCGAGGGACGTGACCGGAAGTCGATGCATCGTATGGCGCTTCGGATCGACTCGTTAAATTATTCACAGAAGAGCCGTCGTCTTAGACGGTATCGAGAACACCGACGACAGTAATAGACACCGCTATCAAGGCTAAACCGCTTTCCAATTTTCTCCTTATTTTCACGACGTAATAACTTACCTGTGTTGACTGTGTTCCGACGCAAGGTTCGGATAGAAGGAGGAGGGGAAAATGGGCTGTTGCTACCATCGGGCGGCCAGTAATGGCCACGTATATATAGATGCTTCTTTACAAGGTGGTGAGATAAGCTCTCATTGGCGACCGAAGCGTAATCACTACGGCTTCCTGAAATAGCCCGAACCTTCACCCCATCGTCCCATTCGATCTCGTCATTTCCCTTTCCTGGGATCCTTGGCAAAGGATCTTCGATCTCTCGTCTAACGTCCCCATATTAAAATTTGTTAAAGCATCCGCAGACGAAATGGAAGCGACAATATTTGCAACATTCCTCGAATAACGTAATACAGTAAATCTTCGTTGCGTGTTCGAAGGCTCTTCGGCACTGAGCATGAAATATTTTATAAACTAATAGTCATGTACTAACCATAACTAATAGCCTGTCACTGTGCTAATCGTTGTTAAGAAGTCAACATTACACCTGAAGACTTTTACTTGTCAGTGCCGAGGAGCCTTCGAACACTCATCGAGCATTTCCTGTATCAGTACAGAATTACCATTTGCAATAGCTACTTACATGTAACATTATACCCTGGCGACGAATCGTGAACATTTTCCTCAGGTACGAATATTCGCACGAAACCAAATCGATTCTTTCTTCCGTATACAGGGGACCATAATTGGATTGGAATGTTCATTACACGGCTGCTACCGATACGGGATAATGCCCCTAAGAGGAGGAAAACTAACGGCGAACGATACAATGGTAATCGGATTCGTCAATTATTATCGATAAATTATGACCGATACGTATGTAACGGGGAACGTTTGCTAGTCGAATACATACTGAAAGGGACAACTTGCAGCGTATCGGAGAACGAATTATCATCGGCCCGGTTCGACCAACTTTTGGCCTTCGGCCGCCGAAAATATTCTCGCTGGCCCCAAACGTATTTATTCATCGGTATGGAATCGATATTATTCCGTATTGACACAGGCCGTAGGAAATCGCGCAAACGTTTCGCTCGGAGATTTTAGTACGGGGACGAACTCTGAAAAACAAATGAATGATTCATGCTCGAGTTTCGTTCAGAAAACCGCCGCTCTCGACGATGAATTGTTAATTTCGAGCCGTCAAAATTTTCGCTGCCCACTATATGATTTTACCGAATGCTTTTCTTTCACGAGATCCAGGGAAACATGCAGAATTTTCTCGATTTACTTGTCAACCCGCGGCCTGTATCGATGAGTCCTTACTTGTACAATCCTAATTCTTTTTTCATTGACACAGAAGGGGAAGAATTCTATTGTCTTCGTCTTTAACACGTTGATTGCCACAGTGAAAAAGGCCGTACGTAGCCAGACACGCTTTATTTCGTTTTTTAAGTCATAAATTGTGGAAAATATTTGTGTTTAGTTAATAGAGGCTGTAGGTCTTGTTTTAAATTATACTGTGATATTAATTTCATGCAAACATTTCATAACAGTGTTTAAATAATCCAGACACTTTTCAATGTACGTGTCACCCATATTTGGGTGACGTGGCAGTCAAAGTGTTAATCAAGATTTCTTCGGATTCTCTGTCGAACAATAAGATTGTTTCAGTTCCCTTGTAGGTGAATCGAAAATACTCGTATCTCCGTGTTATTCAAGCCAGCCGCTCGTTCACCAGCCGCCCAAGCCTCCCACAATTAGTTTTTCAACTTATAACAACGGGGGTTTCCGTGCCTCGTTAACGAGGCAACAAATATCCAAAGAAGCCTGCCCCCCTCCCAGCGTGTCAAACTGCTATACTCCTCACTCCTTATAAATTTTAAGGAGTTTAATTCCGCGTAATTGCCTAAGTTTTCGCCGAACTCGACGGCCAACGAGGCGACCAGGATCCCGAGAAAGGGAGAGGGTGAGAAGAATACGGGAGAGGGTTGGAAACTTTTTAAGACCGAGATTTTTAATGTCGCCCTTGGCGCCAGCCTTTTCCAACGATCGTTATTTACCTTTCCATTGTGGGGGGGGGGGAGCACAGACGGGGAACCGTGGCGGGAAAAAGTGGGCTGGCGTTCGGTCGAATCGACGACATTTTGATTTATAGCCGGAAAATGGAAATCTCGCGTTAGGATCCGAGCCGAGGTCGTGTCCCGTGGGGATTACCAGGTTTTTCGGCGCGGTTGAAACGGTATCGAATGTGATATCCGATGCTTTTTTTCCCGCCAGATCGACCCCCGACACCGGGTAAAAAGCCCTTGGAAATGCACTGCGACACATTTAATCAACGTCGTATACGTAATTCGTACCGCACCGTGTATAAAATATTAATCCTCGGTCCTCTTGCGCGTCAGACAAATAAATTGCAGACGAAATAAATTACTACGTTACGTACGAGATACATTCGTAACCACATCCATCCAATTCAAACGTGTATATATTGCGAATTATTTACACGTAG